AGCAGTACCGCCCGCATAACTGCCGTTGAGAAGCTTGAAATGGAGGGGTGCAAGTGGAAGTGGGTAGGTGGTCGGATGATTCTTGTTTTTAAAGGAAGAAGCAGCTCCAACTCCAACTGCCATTCCCATTATTTCCATTTCCCTTCCCTCCGTTGTTGCCACAATCGACTGCTATGGTGTAAGCTTTTGTAACCTCACACTACCGCTAAGTTGTACTTCGGTGGGATTACCAAGTACACTCCCCCACCAAAGCCCATTTTTCGCAGCCATGTGGTCATGCTGCTTATTATCGTGAGGAGAAGCAAGAGCAACGGCAGCAGTGGCGGTGGCACAGGTGGTGGGGTGGTGGAGGAGTAGATGGGGGCGGAGGTGCTGCTGCTGCTGCTGCCTGGTGGGAACAGAAAGAGAGGAGGTTTGCCTAAGAGGCGGTGGGGGTAGAAGCAGAGGAGGAGAAGGACTATAATACCCTTGATATTTGGTCATGCGTCTCAGGAGATGATGCTTCTTGTCAATTTTAACTGCTGGATTTGACAAAAGGACCACGGAAATGCTATTTTATTAGATCGAGAGCTAAACCTTTATCGTTAATTGTTGGAGAACTAGAACTTTACCTGGAAAAGAGTTGGAGAGTCATTGGAACTCTTTTTCCAAGAAAAAATGCACTTTGACATAATGAAAGAGATTTGAGAAATATGTTACAAACATTTCAAGAAATACAGTGTAGTGTTGTGCATTAAAATGAGACTGAAAAATGTGTTACAAACTCCAGTATAAAATGATGTCAAAAAGGACTCTAACATCCTAGCATCATTTAGTGATTGTAGGCAAGTTGATATGAGGGTAGTTGCCTCATTTTGTAGTAATTAAGTCTTATATTATCAAGTGCTTTCGAGTAGGGATGTACGCGAGCCGAGCTACTCGCGAGTAGCTCGGTCAACGACTCGGCTCGAACTCGGGTTGACCGAGCTCGAGCCGAGTTTCGAGTAGCTCGAATGAAAATCGAGTCGAGTTTCGAGTCGAAATAGCCCAGCTCGAGTCGAGTTTCGAGTCGAAATAGCCCAGTTCGAATTGAGTCGAGTAGCTCGACGAGCCGGAGTTATTTAAATAATATATTTATAATTTAAATAATATATATGTATTATAATTATAAAATGACCATTATGGGTATAAGTTATATGAAATTTACAATATATCCTTTTTTATAATAAAATCCTATAATGGCAAAAAAGTAATAACATAATTGTAAAAAGACCTAAAATGAAAAAAAATTTCGAGCCTCGAGCCTAAAGGAAATTTTTCGAGTCGAGTCTCGAGTATCGATTTTTTGGGCTCGCTCGAGCTCGAGTCGAGCTCAAGCTTTGGTGTATATGAGTCGAGTCGAGCTCGAGTATAGTAATACTCGAGCTCGACTCGGCTCGATTACACCCCTACTTTCGAGCATTGCCGTTCGACAAAAAAAAGAAAAAGAAAAAAAATGTTACAAACTCCTTTATAAACTTTGTCCTACAACATAAGCAAAGCATCAACCAAGTTCTTCTTGCCCAAAAAAATAATAATAATAAACAAGATCTTTGATCTCAAAATGAGAGTGAAGATTCCACTAGTTGCACCCCACGAGGTTTAAGACTTTACATCATTTTCCGAATTTGGTAGACTTCTGTTAGTAATTAAAATGCAGTTGTTTACCAATGGCATTGCTTTCTACAGCAAAGAAATGAAAGTGGGAGCCAATGGGATTTTCCTTTTTTCTAGGTTTGGAATAAAGGGGGTCAATAAGAAACGAATCTTGCCTTTTGGTTTTATAGTAAGGATAACCTTTGCTTTCTGATGGGATCTAAAATTAGTGAAACCCAATATTTTTGTCCTAATACTTTGTAAGCCGAAAGTTGCATAATTCCAATTTGGGATGTCTTCATTCATCAAACTGCAGAACAACTGCAACATCAACAAGAGAAAAAGGAGTACTCCATTTATTAAAAAAGAAAAAGAAAAAGAAAGGGCAGGTAGAAAGACGATTATTTTTGTTTGAATTAGATTCAGACACCAGCCTTGACGAGGCAATTTGGAAAAAAATGGTTTGGAGTGGAAGCCAATGAAACAAGAGGTAAGCTTAATGCCCGACTAAGTACTAAACTTGGATTGTATAATTGTTGAATAAAAAAAAATTTAAATTAAACATCTACTACAGATCAATCCACATGTCTGAGCCCGGGTTCGAACCGGGGACCTCTAGTGTGTGAGACTAGCGTGATAACCGACTACACCACCCAGACGTTGCGATTGAGTTAGGCCGTACGTTATTTTATTAGACTGCAGTATAGTTTCTGTCCTCCACAGACCACCGAATCTTTAGTGGAGTAGCAAGAAAACTCCATGGTTCTATACGGTTCTCCATGAACTTCTAGCAAAACGGGCACATTTTCCCACTGATATTATGTTTTCTGAAAAGATGATACTCTTTCGACGAAGAAATTAGAATTAAATTACTAACCCCGAATTTCAAGTGTTTATCTCAAAAACCGGCAACTCTTGAGACCACCCAGAAAACTAATAACCTAATTCTTAACCCCCGAGAATCGATGTGGGATTTGGTGTGGAAAGGCCAGGGAAGGCCTCTGCTACTAAAGGCCAAGACTCTTGAGGCCAAGGCAACTCTGAAAAGATGATACTCGAAACATCAAAATAGTAATACTTGTGTTCTTCTTCCGGCTAAAAGTCGTTGGTGAGCCTTTGGTAATAGTTTTGGTGTTTCCCCTCCCACTTTCTCTCTATCCTACATTGATTGTGAGTGATGTGTGTGTGTACTACTTAAGGTTCTCAGTGTAGTCTGAAAGTCAGCATGCCTTTTGGGTTGGGCTGTGAGTTTCCCTTAGATAGTGTGTGTGTGTGTGTGTTATTTATGGTTGTTGGTGTGTGTTCTTCCTCCGGTTGGATTGCTATTTTTAGAAGTTAATATAGGAGAAAAATGTACTGTAACAATTTGATATATATGAAATAAAAAGATTATTGGAAATACGTTTATGGAAAACGTGAAAATTTTTTTTTTTTTTGTGAAAAATCACAATCCAACCTGACATTTTTGCCTCAAACGTGGCCGGACATGAACTACTTCAACTAGTCTAATAGGGATTAAACTTCTAATAATTTTTATCAGATTTAACGTCACAAGAAAGAAGCCACCAAAGTAGGGAAAAAAAAAAAGGAGGAGATTCAGCAGAAAGAGTAGTGGACATCAAGAGAGAGCTTGGGCAAAAGGAACGCAAGCATTCGACTCCTTCGCACAATGGCATGCAAGGCTATGAACTTTCCTCCAAATTTTCCGTATTTTCTGTTTACTACACACACAGCTTTTCATGCTTAGGAGCCAAGAAACTTTTATGGAATTAGAGTAAAGGCTTAGTTGTTGAAATTACGGAATTCGCAGGCCAACGAGTCCTCCTTATTGAATATTACTACTAATCGTGATGAAGTGATTGAAGTTTAAACATTAGTGCGTAAGCGGAAGATGGATAGCATCGGACTCTAAGAAGTTGTGAAGATTAATTGTTCATGCCTCTACTCTAACCATGTTGCCATTTATGCAACTATTATACACGGTTTCCCATTCTACTGTTGGGCTCCTGAAACTTGGATTTGCAAAAGAAAAACAAAGGAAAAATGAAAGATTTTTACTATGAATCTCAGTTGAATCAAAATCAGAATTAGAGCTTTGCAATTCCATGGTATTATTAATGAAGAATTTTCGTGATTTAGCAACAAACTTTTGAGGTTTTGGGCATGGAAAATTCATATGAAAACTTGAGGATTTTGAAGTGAAAAGACAATGGATGAATTTATGAAGGCTCGGCATTATCTCAAAAGCGATGATGATGATGATGAGGGGGTGTTCAAAAAACAAAATGAAAAAAGGGTTAACCGGCAGACCCAAATTGGTCCAAATAGAAAATTAGGATAATTAACTCATATTTTTTAAATTGGTTATGGTACCCGAACCTACTTGAAAAATTAGGTTGGCATATGGTTTTTAATTTTTAAAAATCGTGGTTACCAAAACCTACCTGCACATATGCAAGGTTGGTTAAGATAACCAGTATTCAAACATCAATTCATAATTATTTAGTCATTTACTATTGTTTAAGTTACGAGCCCCATGCCATTATACATTTTGTTTTTGACAACTTATAAATTTGTATATTTAACCCTATCTTCCATTTACTTTTTTCATTTCCTATCTCTGCTACCACTAATTACATTCACTCTATTACTCTATATTTTCTCTTTCTTCAAAATTTCTTTTCTTTTCTCATAAATTCTATCCAATATACCGTTCTATTTATTTTGTTTTTAATTCTTAGAGTTTACATTTTTTTTTTTTTGGTTGTAAAGCAACCTGTCATCCTCAATAAAAGATGACTTAATAGTTTGCAAGAATTACAAAAAAATAAAAATAAATGTGTGGAATATTTTATGTTTTAATTATGGGTAAAATACAGTAAAATACCCTGTGGTTAGGGTAATGGATATGAAACCCCCTCGTCGTTTACGTTTAAAAGCAGCCACTTAACCCTTTTGTCCTTTGGACTTCTTTAGATTTTACCTACTAATTGGCTCAAGATTTGCTAATTGCATCTGTATCTTTTGTGATATTATAAATGAGGATGTTTTTGATATTTTATATTATTACAGGCTTCATTAACCCCTCTCTTTGCCCCATCCCCCCATTAACCCCTTGTGGCTCTAAGTGCTTGCTAATTTGTCACTTCCAATTCAATTTTACTGAACTCGAATACAATAAAAATATGTTTTTAGTGTAAAACTTAAGTCCAAACTCGACTTCAAATCTGAATATAATAGAACTTATTTTGCAGCCCTAACTTGAATAGAATATTATTTGAATTAATTACTACTTACGTGTCGCATTGAATTCTAAATGTACCAACCCTAAACAAATGCGTACGATGGCGTTGTGGTTGTACAAAGTGTTGAATGATTTTGTACATCATATTGGCGCGGGGGTGCCGTCGCCCACCACAAAACTTCCATCCTTTTTGGTGCGACAATCAAATCTCTGTAATGGCAAAGACGACTAAAGTGAAGAAGCAGAAGAAAGTAAAGCCCCACCATTCCTCCCACCTAAATCCAAACCCACCCGACAAAATGCTCAAGAAAAAGAAGAAAAAGCTCATAAACCAGAAGTCGGAAACCAAATCCAAATCGAAGGTCAAATCTCCTTCCTCCTCATCTTCAGACTCCGAATCCGAATCCGAGAAAGTCCAAAAACTCCTGGAACCATTCTCGAAAGACCAATTGATTGATCTGCTCACCGATGCTGCGCTTTCTAGCTCGACCTTTTTCGCGAAAATCTGTGAATTTGCAGATAAGGACGTTTCCCATCGGAAAATTTTCATCCACGGTCTATCCTGGGATACCACGAACGAAACCCTAATTTCAGCATTTCAGAATTTTGGAGAAATTGAGAGTTCCAATGTTGTTCTTGATAAGGCTACTGGAAAAGCAAAAGGGTATGCTTTTGTTACGTTTAAAACTCGAAAATCGGCTTTGAAAGCACTGAAACAGCCCAAAATGGTGCTCAATAATCGACTTGTGGTCTGGCAGTTGGCTTCTTTAGGGCCCCCATCGACCTCGGGGCAGCTGGAGGGAAATGGGAATTTGAGTGGGAGGAAGATTTACGTGAGTAATGTGCAGAGTGATGTGAGCGCTGAGAGATTGAGGGCATTTTTTGCCAAGTTTGGGGAGATCGAAAGTGGCCCAATGGGATTTGATGTGCAAACAGGGAAGTTTAAAGGGTACGCTTTGTTTGTGTACAGGAATGTGGAAGGGGCGAAAAATGCGTTAGAGGAACCGTATAAGGTGTTTGAGGGGCGCGAATTGCATTGCCAGAAGGCAGCTGAGGGGAAAAAGATTCATGGTGGGGCTGCTGGAATTACCACTGGTTATCAGCCTATTCCACCTATGTATGCTGCCATGGGGCCGCAGAACATGGCATTGCTAGGGCAGAGTCCAAATGTTAATGTGGATTTGGGTTTGTTGAGTGCTTATCCGTTGTATAATAGCTTGTTAGCGAACCCAAGTCCAGCTACTTCAGGGTTGATGAATGCAAGTCCAATCGCGGTTTTAGGACAAGGAGGGATTGGAATGGGAATGGGGATGGGGGTGGGAGGATATAATGGGGTCATGGGAAATTATGGTTTTGATAGTTTAGGAAGTGGTGGCAGCACCACTACAAATTTAGGGGCTTATGGTGGTGCTAGCGCTGGGTCAAGTGGGCCGATGATACAGGGTATGCATTATGCATATCCTAATACACCAATTGGGCAGAAATCGTCAGCACCTCCAGCATCAGGGACTTGAGGGAGTCTTTAGTGGTATTAGTGGTATGAGCAACTCTGACTTCCATTTAGTTACTTGTGTAGTCAATTGTTTTGCTAGTTTTCCTTTTATGTACTGTGTATGGACAATTTTTCCTTGTTGATCCATGAAATCTATTGCCTCTATAATGTGGTGCTAGCATTTGTTTGTAGGTGTGACGTTTTGCAATAGATGAACTTAGTTATGGGCATATTTCATATGGCTATAGAACGTCTTCATTTGGATATAAAATTTTTTTGTTAATTAAGACATGCACGCCTCTGAACCAAACCACAGATGACACAAGTGTACTTATAGTTAAGCGTGGAATGCTTCATTATGAGATAATACCTTATACTTAACCCATATTTAAAGTTGTAGTTTGCATCTATATCAGCTACTTTGGCAGTTTAGGAGAGAAGAGAAAGCTTAAGTTATGAGAGAAAAGAAGATAGATTTCTATCTTGTTTGGGTGTCTAACAAACAAATGGTAAGTCTTAGGATATATATGTTAATAAAGTTTTAATCTATAGTATTTCAAGGATATATCGCATTTTGAAAACTTATAACAGGCTTCTTTTTGCTTTTTCTTCAATTCTCTCCAATTTGGAGAGAGTTTTTGAAACTGTGGTGGCCAAGTTCATCCTCCGAAATCTGTTCCTTTGAACTCTCTTCTTCCCTAAAAAATCTCTCAAGCAGAGGAAAACCCAGCTTTCTTTTCTCTTCCTTTCTTTTCTTCCAGGTCCCATTCAACCCAAATGAACTGTATATGTCAATGATGTAAGTGACACATCAAAAAAACTTAAAAAAAAAAGACAGATATATGTATAGTTGGTGGACTAGGATCTCATCTTCTTCTGACACAGAAAATGTATGCACTGTATATGAACTCATATCTTCCGAGCCGAGACATGATCAGGCATGATAACTTGAATGATGGCAATTTGGATAATTCCTGAGGATTTTCCTGCTGTTCTGTGTTTCAAAGAAATATACACTATATGATTGTGTTTGCACTCAGTTGCTACAAGCCAGCTGCTTTCTTGAGCACTCAACAAGAAAATTTGGAGCTTACAATTTTTTGTAAAAGAAATTGTATTTCTCAGTTAATAGACAACTATTATAGATACCTTAATTATTGTGTTTTACATATTGTGGAGTTCTTTGCTAGTTTACTACATGGTATTTTTGGTGTTTAATTGTTTGATGCTAGTTTGTACTGATTATTTTGGAATTGCTGTTTTTGGAGGTGAGTAGTTTTTACTTTATATGTTGTTTTCTGTTGTTACAAACTTTGTCTCCATGTTGCAGATAAATTACAACTTGCCATTGACGAGAAAGACGATGCTCTTGGAGATGTCTAAGTGGTTTGCAGAAATGAAAAGAAAATCATGCCCTTTACGTTTTGCTACTTTCTGAAACCCATAAATTGGATCACTTGGCAAAACTTCTAAGGGACTTGTTATTGGTTTTTCGCTACATGACAAAAAGTTTTGATACATCTTTGTGGGATTTCATTGATCTTTTAACTTTTCTCTTGTGGTAATTTTTGCTATTTTCTATTTCAATTATTTTTGGCAGTTTATCATTACTTTTTTCTTTGATTTTTCTCATATTCTCAATATTTTTATTCTGTTTTTCCTTTTCTTTTTGTTAATTTTTTTGTTGGTTTTTCGACCGAGTTTTCATATATGTGTTAGGTTCTGATTTTACTCTACAAACCTTTGTTTTATTGGCATCGTTACAAACTTTCTGTTTCAGTAGTAGTTCAATTTGGAAAATAGAAGTAAGATGGTGTCAAATCCAGTATCTGGCTTATTGAGCTTGAACTGGCTAAAGATTAAGCTCTCTAATTTGATTGGTTTGAGCTAAGAAAGAGCTCATGCTCAATTCACATGTTTGATAGCACTCAAGCTGGTTCTAGCTAAGTGTAAATATCTTCTCTTACATTGGTTATGTGGTAACTGCCCACATTAGATTAAAATATAGGGAATAAAAATTGAATATATTCCATGCTTGATTAAGCTCAATGAGCTCATCAGCCGAGTATTGGTGTACTTGAGCTTGGCTCATTTAGCTAATTTAGTAAATTATCCTTGAGGTGAACTTGGCGAAAGCAGAATTAAATCTTCAGATTTTGATTAGGTTTGTGCCGAGCATCTGTCAGTGTCTCAGTTCTTTTTGCAGCTGTTTTGGGGAAATTAACAACCTGCTGAAGCACCAAAAGTATCTTCTACCGTTAGTATGTTCGGCTAAAAATATGGTCTAATTTCTTTTTAACATATGATTTGGTCTCAATAGCTTTTGCTTTTTGAAACTCTATATTAAAATTGGTTGAAATTAGATAGTGTGTCTTTGTTTTAACTTCTTTGAAAAGGTAAAGCTTATCAGAAGCATCAAAGGGCTACTTCCTCAAAATCAACTCTTTTTTTTTTTTCATTTTAAAATAGGCTAAAAGCGAAGTGAAAGATGGTCTAGAATATCTCAAAAAGCTTTTAGCTTAGAATAGCTTAAATTAGGTGCTTTTAAACTGTTTAGAGTAAGCCGTTTGTGCTTGCACCCTCATAACCATTCCAGGCAGGCCTTTCATATCTTATATGGAAATTTTTCTTAAATTCACGGAACATTACTCAGTTGACTTCAGCATAGGCACCTGGCTGGATTTATTACTTTGAATTTGGGTTGGTTACTCTTATTTTAGGATATCTACTCAATTAGGTGCCGCATCATCCCCACTTATTATTTTATTTTATATATATTTTTGCTTGGAAACAGAATTGTATTTTTGTTTTCTTTTTTGATGATAAGAAATATCTTATCTTCTCTTAGAAAGAAGGGCTTTTTATGTACATGTTCTGATGTACATGTTCTCAAGACTTTTGTGCTATTTGCTGAATTTCCCCAAGGTACTCTGCACCATTGGAATTTCCTTTTAGGTGGTTAAGTTGAAGCAAGAATTTGTTTTCCCTGTTGGTATAATTTTTTATTATGATTCATGGCAAGTGTTGGGTGCAGTCATTCTTTTTCATAAGATACATTTTTTATTACCTTTTTATTTCCTATTATGTCTTAGTTTTGTCGTTTTTCTTAAATATTTATTTTTCCTTTAATTTGTCTAAGTTAACTTTAGTGCAAGGCAAGTCCGTCAACAAGAAAGGATAATAGCTACTAAAATGTTCAATCTGTAGATGATAGTAGGGGTGAGAGGGGTGATTTAATGTGATCCATTGCTCTATCTGTGTCCTTGATAAAGTAATGGCTGTAGGAGAGCTGCTGCAAAATTTTAATTATAAGATGCTGCCTTTGCATTTTGTAGATGATGTTTTGCGGCAAAAGGATGTCAAACCAAGTGGAAGTAATACATAAATAAATGAGTTGGCTATATGGAGTGTGTTTTCAGTTGCCTGGCTATGTCCAATCTTTGCTGTGTTACCAATGTTTATCAGTGGGTGCTTGTTTATGGAGTCAAAGACCACTATACAATGTGTATATTATTTTGTGACTTGGTTGCCTTGTGTAAAGCAGAATTGTGCATATGAAACTCCTGCTGTGCTGGATTGAAAGAATGGGTGAAGAATATTTTTTCCCACTTTTAGTTAATCTAATCAGGGATCCTTGGCAGACATAGCTTTTTGGTGGTTTTTTATTGGTGTTTTTGGTTGTTGGAAAAGGGGGTGGGGGCGCACATTTACTCTAAGAAGTAGGTGATTTCCAATTAAGATTACAGCAATGGATTTGGATGGGAAGCCTGAAGTTAATTTTTCTCTAGGCTCCTTTTGTCCTGGTTTAAGAACCAAATTCGCTCGCGGCTATCTGTTCCTGTCGATTTGGTGCTTTGCTTTTGCATATTTAGTGAGCGATTTAAGTGAGTTTCATGTCACTATTTGTGAACATTCAAGTTTTTCTTAGGTTTGAATGGCGTAACCAATACTTGGTTGAGCTATGAGGCCAACTATAAATAAGTAGAGGTTGAAACATTAGCAATTGACCTTGGACGTTTATTGTTTCTTTTAAATCGGCCGACTGTTAAACTGCCAAATTTATGCATTCTCTTCAAATTTGCCACAGTTGCAGTTATACAAAGTACTCTAACCGTTCTATGGAAATTTAATTGCAAGATAACATTTATCCTAGATAGACCTGGTCCCTCCCAGTATGAGCCGAGGAGTTGGCAAATAAGTCACATATGGATACAAGGAGAATGGATTATTCTTTCTTTCAGATTCACTTCTTTCTCTTCTTTGGGGGTTGCAGAGCTTCTTCCTCTTCATCGTCTTCCTCTTCCTCGTCCTCTTCCTCGACAACTTCCTCTTCACCTTCTTCACCACCATCTTCTTCTTCATCACCGTCGTCGTCGTCGTCATCATCGTCGTCTTCATCTTGGTCATCTTCGCCATCATCGTCGTCATCATCATCATCATCCTCACCATTCTCTTCTGCCCCACCTGATCCTCCTCCTGCACCTGGACCCTTCTTAGGATTGCTCTTGTTATTGTTGGGGTTGCTGCCAAAATCATCCCCATCTTCAGACGACAAGTCCTCCTCACCTTCACCGTCATCCTCATCATCATCGTCGTCATCCTCACCATCGCCCCCCTCTGCATCCAGTTGCTTGCATGGGCAGTAGTAGGTTTCAGTGTCTCCTCTCATTTTGGGCTTGTTTCTTAGCAGATCGAGGTACTCCTGTTAAAACAAATCGATACAACGATAAATTTCCAAACATGGTTGACTTGCATCGGATCAAGTCTCGATCATAAGAAACAAAGATTACAAAATATACCCTCCAATTCAAATGGGTAGATTCATCAACAAATACAGCAGTTAAATACTCAACCACCCACCTCCCACCAAGAAATCAGCTTAAACCTTGCAATACCTTTATTGATGAACACGTGGGAAGTGTTCTATGGTATTTTTTTTACTTTCACCAACAAGGAGAATATTCCATGTCTTGGCACCCACTAAAACTACTTTTGACTCATTCTCGGATAAAAAAAGAAACGACAAAACAACAGATTGTTTCATAAGCAAAACGAATAGGGCCTACTAGGGATTATCACAACACCATTGCCCAATACTCCAAGTTCCCAACCATCTTTGGTGTAACCATTAACAGTTTAACACAACATAAATCAGTATTTATTTCCATATGCCCCATTTCAATTGAAACCGAAATTGCAAAAAAAAAAAAATAATAATAATAATTTTTTTTGCAGCCTCACATTTGAGAATCTCATTCTAAAATCTCAAAAAGCTGGACTACATATCCTTGCTTTGATAACATCACAAGAATGTCCTCGTAGAGTAAATCCCCTTTATCTTTTACTATTGTTTTGTCACCATTTGAAGCCAAAATGTTAAAAATAAAGGGAAAAAAAAGGTTTGTTTCATGTTAACTCATAGCCTATTAAAAATTTGCACCTTCAGACAAACAAAAAGAAAACAAATTTTTATCGGATCAAAACAACAAGGGCTATACGTTATACACTAAAAGATTAATGGGCTATTCCTCCCACAAAAAGGACAAAAAATTGAGGAAAAACAAAAAACCTTCGAAGTTTACCATGACAAAAGTCATAAGCCTTAATAGTGGAAAAGTCTGCCGTCTAGACTAAAATACCCACAACTAAAACAAAATAAAGAATTGAAGCAATAAGATATCAACAAAAAAAAAAAAAAAAGGATATCAAAAAGATCTAATTTTATTCTAAGAAAAAGGAAAACACTAAAGTATTCACAAAGTAAATTCCCAACTAAAAAAAAATTTCCACGTGCAGCAGATCTTTTTCCTTTTCTTTTCTTTTTTGGAGCAAAATACTTGCTGCAGAGATAAAGCTGCTAAACTACAAAAAACAAAATAAAATAAAACAGCACTTTAAAATCGCCCAAAAGAAAATTAAAAAAAAAAACAGATTAACAAAGTCAACGCAGTGTGTAATTTACCTGCGTGAGAACGACGAGGGAGGTTTTGACCAAAGCCGAGACAAGAGCTGCAGCTAATAAAACCACTGCTTCCCCGGCGGACGTTAGCACACCCCCATTAACGACGTTAAACGTCATCGTTTCGTCAAAACTACTAGCTAATGTTTCCATTTCTTCCGTACGCTACAGTGCAAAAAATTAAACCTGCACGCGAATCACGGTAACCGTTAGATCTACACTTCCTTCACCCTCAACCGTCCGATTTTTCATCAAAAAACATATTTTTAGTATATTTTTCACCCCCAGAAGAACAGGGAGAAACAAAACTGATTTAATCAAAACATAAAAACAGTGTTGAAGCAGTGAAAAAGGACAAAAAACTACTTTAAGCTGCAGAAATAGAAAATCAATATCAAAATAATGGCGAATCTAAATTTTCCCCATGAAAATTCGTAAAAAAGGAAGAAAAACTCAGGCGAATTGGCAGAAATACTGCAAAGATGAGAATAAAAGTGAAGAGGAGGCTGGAGATGGATGGAAAACTTACCAGAAGAGTAGATCTGAGGTTGGATGCAGCAGATCTGAGAGATTGGAGAGCTAAAGCCAGGGGAAACAGAGAAGAGAGGCGGCGTTCATTGTGGACCGTCGGATGAAGCAGAGAGAGAAATCAGAGGGCGAGAGATGGACGTATGTATTGGTGAAGCTATAGATATAAAAAATCAAAGGGTAAAAAAGAGATGATCGAGAAGCAGCAGCTGTGAGAAGGAATGAGATGATGATGAAGGTGCCATAGTGGTAAGGGTGTGTTTGGATGTCAGTGTTACTGAGAATGCTGCCCGTAATCTTGCCGGGCAGTTTGGGCAGGGGTCTGAAGCAATCAGATTCTGAAAATATCGGGAGGGGGTTGGGGATTCTGGGGGAATGAAACTGCCCGTGGTTTTGTTTAATTTTTTGGTTTTAATTTTTGTTAATTGGTTTTGTTAAGAACTCGATGCCCTTAACCGGGGTTAGGTTCAGGTGATTGACTAACTAGCACACGGTTGAGTTGTGGATAGACCGGGGTTGGAATGTAATTTTCTTCCGGTTAATTGCGGGCTGCGGCGGTGGTTGGAGGATTTATTAGGGAAAATCGTCCAAAACGTTCTTCACATTTTGTAAAATGACTTTTTTCGTCCCTCACTTTTAAAAGTGTAATTTTATGTCACTTACATATTCACATCGGTCAAATTTAGTCCCTAACTAGGTTTCCGATCATTTTTTGGCCGGAATCCATCACGTGCAAGGCACGTGATCATTTTTTAAAGGTAAATTTGTCAAATTATATTTTACATAATCTGATCTATAGTACTCCACATTTTATAAAACAAATGTTTTCGTCTCTCACATTTTATAAAATAATTTTTTTATTCCTCACATTTCACAAAATGAATTTCTGCCTCATATTTCAAAAAATAAATATTTACATCCCTCACTAATTATGTATGTGAGGGAAACCCTAAAAAAAATGTGTGTGAATAAATTTTGTTTAAACACATGTATATGTCTATTTGATTTTACTTAATAATACGAATAGCATAAATATATGTATGTGTCTATTTGATTTTATTTAACAATACGAATACCATATATTATACGTGATCATTTGATTTCATCTGGTATTAGTTAGTAAATAATCTTGCATTCATTGTCAAGTTGGCCAATGAAACTATTTTCGATCAAAATATAATAAGAATATGCAAATTAAGGTTCTATTGGTAAATATTAGTCATAATTATACAAAAAGAGAAGATAGCCCACAAGTTGGGCCCAACTACATACATGTGTTTATGCTATTATTATTAAGCAAAATCAAATAGACATATACATGTGTTTAAAAAAATGTATTCACACACATAATTAGTGAGAAATGAAAAATTCATTTTTTGAAATGTGAGAGATGGAGAAATTCATTTTGTGAAATGTGAGGGATGAAAAAAATCATTTTATAAAATGTGAGGAATGAAAAAATTTATTTTATAAATGTGGAGGACTATTGATCAGATTATGTAAAATATAATTTGACAAATTTATCCTTCAAAAATGATCACATGAACTGCATATGATGGATTCCGGCCAAAAAATGATCGGAAACCTAGTTAGGGACTAAATTTGTCCGATGTGAATATGTAAGGGATATAAAATTACACTTTTAAAAATGAGGGATGAAAAAAATTAGTTTACAAAATGTGAAGAACGTTTTGAACGATTTTTTCGATGTAATTCTATGGGGTGAATGGGGTAAAAAGGAAATTACCTGTTAAGGCAAGTGTCAAGATGCTATTGGGTGTGAAAGTTAATAAATTTTTTGGATGCTAGACACTTTTGATAATTTGAGGAAGGCCCCCTTCTATTTAAAAAAAAAAAATTATACATGTCACTCTTTATGGTTCAAAAGTACTTTAGTACCCTTCATAGATTCACAATATTTACATGCAGATTTCCTACAAAAAGAATAAAGATGAACGAATAAAAAAGAAAATTAATGAATGAGAATGGAAATAACCAGAACCAAACCTTGACCTTGCTTTTTCTCCTATACCCTTCCTCACAACCAAATTATCAATTTGTCCCCCTCTTTTTCTTTTTCTCTTTTGACTCTCCTCTCCTACTCCCTACCATAGCTAACTCCTTCCTCAAAATTTTGGTGTTCTTTTAACTTTGCACCTCTTAGTGTCGGTGTTTGTTGCTGTTGCTCCCTTCCTTTCTTCGTTTCTCTCCATTTTTGTTATTATGATTCAAGTAGTTTTCATTTTTTTTTCCTTTTCTTTTTGTGCTTTTATAGGCCGATACAATTGGATGCTATTGCAGATCAAAAGTTAAAGGAAAATAGAAGTTTTCGGCCTCTAGAAATTGGATTCTTAAAAGGTTGTTGCAAATTTGATAGGGAGACTCGAAAATTGGATAGAGAGATAAAGTGGTAGAAGGGTTTATGATATAAAAATTTTGTAATCAACAGATATTTGATTTTGATCAAAGTATGAAGGTTGAATTTTAATGTCTTGAGTGGCAATTATGGTTGCAGTTTCTGAGTAGGTTAGAAAGCATATCTTGGCAATTTAACAAAATAGGAATTGGTTGTGGCTAGGGATCCTTAAGCTGTCAAAATTGCTAGAATCGTATAGGATTTGTATTTGAACTTTTTGTTTTCTAAAAAAAGTCACTAGAATTCACAGTATGTTGGCAGTGATTAAAGAAAGAAAGTTGGAAATTGTTCCAGAAATAGACAAGTTAAAGCAGATGAAAAAGAAGCTCTTACTTTCTTTTTATCTTTTGAAATTCTACAAAAAGGCTATTTTAAGTATTTTGAATAATGATAAGCTAATGCAGTGCGGTCTACTTTGTGGCCTAGTCTATAAGAATAAGGGAGGTCTTTTTGTAATTTTTAAAATTAAAGGAGAGTTTTTTCAAATTATCAAAAATCTTAGGAGCAATATGTAAAATTATCCCATAATTTATTTGTTTCTTTGTCTAACAAACTATTATAGTATGAAATTAGCATTTATAGAATTTGGGGACCAAAATTGAAACTGATAGGTCTATATACATATCACCTAGTCTATAAGAATAAGGGAGGTTATTGTAATTTTTAAAATTAGAGGAGAGTTTTTTCAAATTATCAAAATCTTAGGAGCAATTTGTAAAATTATCCAATAATTTATTTGTTTCTTTGTCCAACAAACTATTATAGTATGAAATTAGCATTTATAGAATTAGGGACCAAAATTGAACCTGATAGATCTACATGCATGTCACATCATTTAATTTAAATTTAAACACTAGATTTTGTATGTATAGCATGTACCCTAAACCCACAAATGCATAAAAAGTTTACCCTTTAACTTAGGATTAATCGTTTCTATACTATTAATAAATACATTAACAAGTCTAGATGCATATCACTTCATAAATTTAAATAATAAACTTTGCATGTGTGACATGCGTCTATATTCGCAAATATTTGTTAGCATAAAAGATTTACCCATTAATCATTGTTGCACTAAAGAGAATTTTGAGGTACCTACATAGTTGTTGGTACCATACTCGTGACGGCCCCACCTCCCCCTAAGGCGAACCAGAGGGTTCGGCGGGCCGCCTGCCCAACTCTCGCCGGGACTCAGTCGATCACTACAATTCTCAAATGAATTACAATATAAATCTCAAATATACATCACATGGTCCACAAACATACATCCAAGTCTCCAATAATTACATGTCACAAATGCAGCGGAAATTGATTCCAATCGTGGAATGTATACTTACATCCATATCAATTTCAAATATTTATACAAGACCAACTCGTACATAAAATAGATCCAAACTTAAACTGTACACGATATAAGCCATCCAGTCACGTGAATAAGCACAACAAGCCCTTCCTTCGCCTTGAGCCCTGTGGGGGGGAAATAAAATATTTTTGGGGTGAGCTAAAAGCCCAGTGAATAACCAATAAAATCAGTAATCAAATAGTTTTCACAAAAATTCATTTCATTGATGTCATGGTTCAGAAATCAGATGTACGTATTTTTGCTCTCGTGAGCCAGTGAAATCATTGTAATGTTTTAGAAGTTCAATAAGTAACCGGGGGTAAAAATGTAATTTTGTTACAGGTCAACATTTGCACAGTGAGAGTAAAACAAAAGCAGAAAATGACACCACATGGTAATTCCACAAAGCTCAATGAGCTAAAATCTCAATAAGGTTCCGAACATGAAATTTTATAACAAAGCCAACACATTAACCATCAATAATCAATAATTCAAGAAACATTTACAATGGAAAGCGATAGTAACATATTCATTAAAAGGATACCGCTCACATGGAGCTATTCATTTGTTCGTTCCCCTGACATTTCCTCTTATTCCTCCAATTATTTGAAAATTTCATTTTTATAAATAAACCCTCGTTCATCTTTTTATTCGTTTATCCCCTTTTCCGGACGTTGACCGGACTCCACCCATCCGACGTTGGCCGGACTCCACCCATCCGGACGTAGCCGGACTACAAGGTAATACTCGAGTATACCAAATTCACCCAGGGTCACCATATCGCCCGACCGAGTCCGCTTCTGGCTCGAGTCGATCGGTAACGAAGGGCAGTGGCCAATTCAGCCAAAAGGCTTACATCATGCGCAATTAGTATTTAATCATTAATCATTGAAAATTCATATTTATTTAGGTCGAGTGCGATAAAGTACACACTCGCCTAGAAAACTCGTTTTAACAATCATCGAAAGTACTTAACACATTTTCAATTAATAATGACAAGCCAATAAGTCAAGAATTACAGCAACCAATGGACACTCATATGCAAGTACGCATGATATGCAAGAAAACAGTTTAAAAGTAACTTTTGAAAACAGTTTAAAAGTAAATAATGCAGGAAACGGTTCATAAAGAACTTCAGAAATAGTTTGAGGTCACTCACCTCAATGGCTCAGAAATCATCCATCATGTATCATTGCCTTGCTCAAACCCAAGTCTTAGATCACAAACTCAATGCAAACAAATCCTTTAAAAGTTCGGACAGCACTTCCCCTACATTTGCTAACTTTTCCAGCCATCATGGCTTCATTATTTCCTCAGCCAGTCCCAAAGGTACACACACAACAACAAGTTCATCCATAGCCATTCAGCAAGCTCCAAGTAATACTAGTGCAAGTCAAGCTAGGGGGAAAAAAAATCCGGAAATGAAACTTAAGTTCAAAACCAGAAAAACAGTTTTGACGTCATTTTGCGATAATGGTACCAAAGGCGTTATGATTGTCGGAAAAAGGTGCAAGACCCACCGTTTCGAAGATAAGAGATAGGTCTACAACAATGTAGAAGGCCACTCAGTCCAAATCCTAGCACAACTAGGTTAAATGTGCCAAATACTCAACCGGAAACACCAAAAACAGGTTTACAAATCACATAATGTTGTAATTACTATAACTCAGTCTATACAGGTCCAAATGCCAAAATTCCAAAGGCATATGGTAGCTAAGACATCCAGCTACATTTCATCAGAAGACACCAACACCTAAATCCAAAGCAATTCCAGTCAAAATGGCCAATTACAAGTGCAGTTTTCGCATTCTGATCAACCCAGAACAGCAACAGTAAAATCGGCATATCTCACTCTACACTAATCCAAATGACCTGAAATTTTACAGGCACTTCAAACTCATCAATACCTACAACTTTCATGTTTTGAGAAAAGTCCAATTCGGCCTCTAACATGGTGCAATAAATTCGGGCAGAATGAAGAACTACAAAACCTAATTTTCTGAAATTTCTTCCAAAACAGAAATTGATTGCACTTAATCACTTTTTCCACCTCCTAGAGTCATTAAACATCATTTCCAATCATCATACATGACCACCCAATCATATCCCTATGAAAACAGAAAAATCCCCAAAAATAATAAAACTTCACCAATTCAACCAAACTCAAGAAATAATCCATGAAATTGCATCTTATAACACCACTAATCATGAATTGAACATCATTAGAGGAAGGAGAGGTGTTCATCCACCACTTACCTTAGCAAAACAAGAGGGAGAGCTACTTGTCACCTTAAGCTTCCAAACAACTTCACCAAACAACTCACTATCACTAAAAGAAGAGGTTTTATGGAGTAGAAACTAGATCAAGCAAGTGTTTTGGAGGATTTGAGCTAGATAATTGCCAAACTTTGAAGAGGTTTTTTCTTCCTTCTTTGCTAGAGAGAGAATCAGCCAAGAGGTTGAAGACAAGAATGAATTTTGTGTGATTTTTAAGATATTTAAGCAATTGGTCAAAAAGTCAAGAAAATGAATAGTAAGTCATAAGCTATTTCCAATACAATGGTGACACTTGTCACCTCCATAAATGCAATCTTATCTTTTCTTTTTCCTCTCACATCAATCAATTCACATCCTCTACTTATCCCTTAACACCCGATAAATTTTACACAGTATCCGGAATTTAACCTAATTGGCCGAATTTTTCCGAACTTTTCGTACTTGTGGGTCCCACGTCCGTTATATATTCTTAATTTTCTAAAAACTCTCCAATACTAGGAAAATCATTTTTAAACTATTTTTGCTCATAAACTTTATCTGGGAAATTTTTCTAATCAAGAAAATGTAGAAAAACGGGCGATTAAAAAAATAAACCCTAGAAAATTACAAAATTTTCGGGTTCTCAAACTCATTTTTTTTTCGGGGCGTCACAATACTCATAACGGATCGGCGAATGCAATATCCGCACCGACATAAACGTCGTCGAGTGGGAATGGCTGCACATTTCGATTAGCAGGATGAATATTGACTAGTTATATCAGTCAGCGTGAATTCACTGGCATCAACTGCATTGGGTTGAAGGCAATGGATAGAGGATGATGGGTAATTGCTATGGACTTGCTCCTGCATGTTTTGCTATGTTGTACAGATACGAAAAGGGAAGAAAGAAACTGATCATGCAAGCTGATTTATTGGAGGGCGTGCATCGAAGCATTGTCTTAGAAATTAGGGCCATGGGATATATTCCTGCCCTGAGATAAGGAAGTGGATGATTATTATGACCCATGTTCCAATTGATATGGTTGATGTGGCAAAGGGTTTTCTTGGCAGCAGGCTACTAGATTAGGGATGAGTCCATGAAGTGAAGAAGTGGACTGTTAAATCGGCCATGAAGCCATATAGTGGAGTTGTAACAGTTTTCATCCCAGTCAGCTATAAACACGAGAAAGGCATCAGAAAAAGGAGGAGGGGATGTCTCCGCCAAAAAAGACTTCTTTGTAAAACTGCTTTCCTAGGAATCTTTACATTCATGACGAAGTACTCTAATCAGCTTTCTTTCCCATTGTTTTCTTGATCAGTTACTTTGATGCATAATCCTTGAAGTTTCTCAAGACTGACGAATAGCAATCATCTAGGAGTTTAGTTTCATCAGCGCACTCTCTATTTCTTTTTTTTTTCTTGGCATAAGTCAAGTGACACGCTCGCAAATTCCAAACCAATGGCTTGTTCAAGTTCATAAGTGGTCTGATCAAGCATTTCCATGCAATGCCTTAGCATATCTACCTTATATATAAGAAAGGAACAAGGTTTAGTGTTTTTCTTTCCTTATGCCATATGACTTCTTAATTATCTGACAAGTGGCAACGTAAAATGTTTCTTGCAAATTGTCTAAAGCTTTCTCTTGTCCGAAGCCTTGTATTTCTTTCTTTTGGCATGCAACCGTTCCTTTCTCAATTCTCATTAGTGCTCCCCTTATCTTTTGCCCTAGGCTTCTTAATTCTCTGACAAGTTGACCGAAGCTTGACCGAAGCTTTTTCCTTGCAACTTGATCGAAGCTTTTTCCTTCTTTCAGCATTCTACTGTTTCTTTCTCAGTCAGATTGCCGTTGAAGCCTTTTCCTCCTTTCTCTCTATCACACGCGGCGCACCTATTCTGAGCAAGTCCAATTCCAAACGCCTATACTACCAAACCCAGCAAGTCAGCAACCTTCTTCAAGCATGTAAAAAGTTTGGATTTTTTCATGATTTGGGAGATGGGCTTTGTGAGTTCCTTCTTCAAGCCAGTGGGTCAACTGCTATTTCTACAGACGCTTGATTTACTGATCACTCACATGGTGTTTGTACTTCAGAGGAGGAAAATTGGGAGCAGGTGAACTACTTAACCTATTTCTGTATCAATTTCATGTTGCCCAATTGTTGGACACTCACGTGATAATTGTACTTTAAAGGAGTGAAATTGGGGATTTTTTGTTAGATTAGGCATGGCATTCTATTCTCATTAGCTTTGCTATTCAATTTTTTGCTCAAATCATGCTTTCTATTCAATTTTCAGCAGCCGTACGATTATGATGAGGAATATCTGTTTAGATGTGATTTTCCCTTTATTCCAGTTATGATAAGAAATAGGTTTCCTATTCACTTAGCCTGTATTTTTTCCAGTGACTTACCAATCAAAAACATGGAATAGACATATTTATCTGTGCATGGTGCTGGCTCATCTGCCTTATGAACTACAAGAAGAAGCCTCCGATTCTTTACATCTTATTCTCTAGAGTCTCTTTGGTGAGAAAAAATCTTCCTTTTTTTTTGCCAAATTTTTCACGTATAAATAATACACAGATTAATAAATTCTAATATACATATATGCTTCAATTGATAGGTTCCTTTTGCTACGGTTCCTCCAAGGAATCCTTTAGCTTGAAGGTCAGTTTGTTGTCTTTTTTCAATCTATGAAGAGCTTTTCTTCATCTATGTGACTATATTTTCATAAGTAAAATTTCACCTTTCCCTTTTCTTTTTAGTAGTTTTTCTTCAGTTTCTACTTTATTTATTTTAAGTTTATTGGTGCTATTTATTTTGTGTGATCCTTTGTGAAACAAATGATTGCTTATTTGAGCAGGTGATTTTGTTAATATTGACAGTTATACTTTTTCTGCAAATAAAGCACAATAAATAAAGGAGAAAATTGGTAAAACCTTAAAGCTTGAAGCATACATTCTTCATCATCCACTCCAAACTCTAGTGGTTGATGACATTTTTAAGAGTCCAATGAGCCTGTTGATGACTACAACCCTTTGGTAATCTTCTTTTGTGTCCTGTTGCAACCCCTTGACAATTGTGCTACTGCAACCCGTTCAGCTACCCATTCACCTAAAAAAAAAAGTCAAAAATGAAGATACCAATCCAGTTCCCAATTCAATAATCCTTATTTTGAAATTTGGTGAATTCCTGAAGCAATATATTATTAGTGGCATACCTATAAAAAGGAGATATCCATTTGCTGATATTACTCTGAGTAACTAAGCTGTCCTATTGGTTTGTATATAATCAATGTTCTATCAAATAATCAAATTGCTATATACACTAGAAAAAAGATTGTAGTAATGGACATCAATACCAGATTTTGTGAACCAAAGTCATTAGCAATCTCCTGCTACTGGTGCTTTTGTCTTTAATCACAATGAAGTTATGCAAAATCTAAGTTAGTTTTTCTTACAATATACATATCTGATATATATGTGACTTGTTGTTGTTCTAAATGAGGAATGAGAGAGATTATCTATTTTTCAGAGAACTTTAAGGTGGCAAAGCTTGTTTAGTGATCTAAGTGCCTGTTGGTTAAGCAACTTAAGACTTTGTACTTGTTGTTTCTAATTGATTACTTAGTGTGTGACTTGTTTGCTGTTTTGTTTAGTCTAGACTTGTCTAGGGCAATGAAAAGGCCGATGGTTACTTTCTTATTAGTATAGATAACAATGGCAAGGAGATGTCTTTCAATGCAGGAAGTCCACGACAAGATGAGAAGGTGGACAGTGCTTGTGCAAGTTGTGGAGAAATCACACGTGTTAACCAGTAACGGATCGCCGCTTATCAGATTTCAACGTCTTGTCTTAACAGATTCTGAGGTGATATAAGCTAATTTAACATTTCCTATATCATCAACATGTCCAGGTTATTAATTATCCTTTGTGCAATTTAATTTCAGGCCAATTACTTTTTAATATTGGTTTCTATTTATGTTTCTTGGGTAATATTGTTTCGTTGGAACTTAAAATAGTAACGCTTGCAAATTGACTATAGTGAAGTTCTGATTTAACTTACATGATTCTACCATATAATATTTCAAGGTTTATTATTAACAAATGATATATGCCTAATCAGTATAACTTTCTACATGGGAGATCATGTATAGTGATTTGAAAATGTTATAACTTGGATGCATTTGAGTGTCTCAATGTGCATTCAATGACTAAAACGAAGTGTTGAGGACTTACGGAAATGATTTATAGTAAAAGAGGAAAACACAGCAACTGTAAGTAAGAGTAGTTCACCTGTTTCCAATTTTTCTCCTCTGGACTTACGAAATACAAAGGACTTCTTGAAATTTTCAAGAAGGAAAAGAATCTGAAAAAAAATCCTCCTACTAACGTGACCAATAGCTGCTAAAGTATTTATACAGAAAGCGTTTTAGATTTTTGCTACTTCAATTCTTTCGAAGAGTCCCACGTTTTCTACTGTTACATATCCCTGTATCTGAAATGCATTTTTTGCCTTTAAGGAAAATTGAGGCAAAAGATAGCAGTCTCTTGATAACATTAATTGATAGCAGTTTCTTGTCTAATTCTTTTCTGGTTTTCTACCATTTTTCTACATAAATGTCTCTGATTATTCTTAGTGATTTGTTTCTTGCAACTCAAATATTGCTGTTATATGTTTTATTCCCCCTCTTCCTCCTAAAAAAACAAACTTTGCATACTTGCTGTTGTATGTATCTCACCTTGAGCGTTCTACTTCAGTCTTTTAGTTAATATTGCTCATCTTGGTTCTTTCTGTGAACAGGGGAATATGGTTTTAGCTGTCATTTATGGAAATGACATTCATTATTTTGCTAATCTACTGCAACCATTCAAGCGATACTATATCACTGGTGGGACTGTCAAAAAACAGGATGCAAAGTATAAAGTTAGTGACTATCACTTCTCATGGGTGATTCATAACAAGACATTAGTTGAAGAATATGTCGAGCCAAATCCACCAATGCTACCATGCACTTTTGAATTCACCAAATTTGAAGACCTTTTTAGGTTCGCAGACACGGAGAATGTTCAGAGTAAATTATATTTATGCTTTACTAATTGAAATATAAATTCATTTTCATATTTCCTTTAATTATTGAAACACAGCTCACATCTTCTCTTTTGGTTTGTACGAAGGTTTACAAGCTGTTGTCATCACTGCATTTGCGACAAAGGAACAGAATAACGGCTCTACAACAAGAGACTTCATTGTTATGAATGAAGAGTTAGTTATATGAACCTTACTTTTAATATTTCTATTCAATGCATAAAATTATTGCATTCACATTTTTCCCTGTTTTTCCTCTTTTTTGTAAAGGAAAAAACCAATGCTTCTTACTCTTTAGAATGAGTTCGAACAAAATCAAGGAACACAGCTTGCAAACAGCATTGGGAATGCCAATGTTATCATTGGCATGAAACTGAAAATCACAACAGCTTGCAAACAGCATTGGGAATGCCAACGTTATCAATGGCATGAAACTGAAAATCACAACTTTTAATTGTAAGTTAAGCTAATATACTTTTAACAACTCATACTTCTATGACAGTCATCCAGTTAGAATAACTTAGCCAATCACTGGCTTTTAAATTGCTCTATTATTTAATGAAAACCATTGCTTTTTATTATTAGACTTATCCCTGACAACCAAGCCTGGGAGTGGCCGTCTGATTAATCCTCTCACTTCTGAAGCAAATGCACTCAAAGAATGGTACGCATGTTCTTTGATCATTTAAGTTAAACTTTTCTAGATCCCTTTGATAAATTATAGTCTGTTGCATTGATTTTTTGGATAGGTATAATGCAAATAAAGAAGAAATTGCAGAGTTGATAAAACAAATGGCATACAAAGATTCATCTAAGCTGCTGCCTCCTCCAAGTGCTAATGACATGATCAGTGTAACCAATGCACTTAACACACTCAAAGATGTAATTTTCTTTTTCATTTATAATCTGATTTACATCTTTCAGCCATCCAAAATAATGCAAGACTTGGGTGTTTTTCTTTCTGTTCACAAAAACATCTATTAGGTGAAAACAGTTTAGATAACAAGAAAAACCAGTTTGACCCCTGGGCAACAAAAATTCTGGTTTGCAGCATGTGAGAACTGCCAAAAGGCTATCAATGTTGACGTAGGATGGGTTATGAGATGCCCATCTTGCAAAGAAGAGAGCAAAGTTGTAGCAAGGTAATTACCAAATTAAGTTTCCTTCTCTTGTAATGAAAAATTAGAATATAATATTTTATTTCCAATGTGCAATAGGACCCGAATTGGGATTACTGTGGATGATGGTACGGGCTCCATAAACACTGTTACCTTTGGCCTTGATGCTGAAAGGTTTATCTCATTTACAGCTCTTCAATTCTGGGAAGCTCATAATGAGGTAAGCTAACAATCTTGGCAACAAAAATTGCTGCTACAAGTTTAACTCTTGCATGATAATATAACTACCAGCTTAATACATCTTGCTTAATGTTGTCGATTCTTTTTCCCTTCATAGATTTCTTCATTTTCCCCTTCAACTACCATGAACTTCATGTGCCTATATTTCTGCTACCCATTATAGTTTTCTATATTTCTACTGACTTGAAAGTTTCCTATATCATGTGGGCTATATTTCTGGTGGAATTGCCAGTTTCATTTTTGCTTTCCATTTTTTTGTTATTTTTGTGTGTGATATTCAGGCAGTTGGTTTTCCTGCTAATTTGAACTTTCATGCTTGTAGCCTTTTCTATTAGTTACTGAGGCCACAAACTGTCAAATTCTTACTGTTGTATGAGGATAATTTATTAGAAATTTAGTTGTAAGAAACCCATAAAGCAAAAGGAGGGGTGGTGGTATTCAGGAAAAAACAATAATAGTTGTCAATGGGTACATTTTTCTAGATAAGGTTATGAGATTTGAGTCCAATTGAGCTATCCTGTAAATGAGATATCGAGTTACCTCTTCCAACCCCTTCTTTGCCAGATTTGATTGGTTTTAGGCAAATAAGTAAATAGAAATTTTGTGCACAATTGGAACTGTATATTTGATACTAATAAAGTTTGTGCATGATTGGACAATTAGAGCATTGGACATTCTTCGCATGACAGATCCAATCTCAATCGAATTGGAACTGCATGTCCAGAATGAGTCAAATAATTTAAACAGACTCAGAATAGTCTGATGAATAGGCACAAGTAATAACTACCGAATAATTTGATTTTTATGCTTCTTTTATTGAGTATGAATATTGCTCTCACCATGTAAAAGTGTAATGATTGTAGGAAACAAAAGATTATTTGGCTTTGCCATCATTCACAGTAATTTCATAATGTCTTAGGTATAATATGTTTTGTTTCCTTCCATAACTTATGATTGGGGTCCAATTCTTTTTACACAATATGAAGTTACTCAGAATTTGAATATCATTGCCCAAGTCAAAATCTACAATAAGAGCTTCTATTTCCAAATAAATAGCTAATATTTCAGGATACACTTGCTAATTATTTATACTTTAAAACAAAAAATTGCAGCAGCTTAACTTTTTTGCTGAACTAGCATCTACAATCGGAAAGCATTCGATTGTGTGTTTCATTCGCTGCTATGAGGCAGATTATCAAGACCAGAAGGAAGGCAAGTATAATATTGTCAAGGCATACACTACTGAGGAATTAGTTCACATTCCAATGGCAATCACGACTGCAGAAACGAATGAAAAAATTCCAGACCTTCATGCTACTGTCCTGTAGTCTGCCAAAAAAAAATGAATTTTTCAGTCCATCAACCAAAAATTTGCTTGATACCATCGCTGAATCTTCTGCTACTGCAAACAAAGTGCCGCCTCCAGTGACCATAGCAAAAAGGACCTTGGTTTTTGGAACTGTGCCTTCTAAAATTGGTTTGAATTTTGCTGAAGCTAATACATCTACCTTGCTGCCCACCAATGCACCTGGAAGTCCCTTGAAGAAGCAGCGTGATGATGAACTCTGAACTTCCTTGAAGCCTTTTGAATTGCTAATTTTGCTAATGTTGAAGCACTTTACAGCTGAATTACTAATCTTGCATCTTTTGACATAATATTGACATCCATTAAGAAATTGTTCTTTTGTGCACCTTAATGGATCTCAATATGTGATCTTTTGTAATTGCCGCCTATCATTGCACTTTATATTAAGCATTCAACAAGTCATCTCCTATCTCTATAAGACTAACTTGCATTTGAAGATATCAAGCTGTTTGTAACACTACTTACCAATCTTTTGTCATCTTCTCTTATTTTTTGCAATGCTAATGGTTTTTTGGTTTGTTTAGTCTTATATTGTTAGCTGCATGCTTGATTGGTAATCGATAATTTTAAGAATGCTATTTCACAAACATTACTGTTAATCTTACCTTATACGAAAATATATGATAATAGATCATAGGGGGCCTAGGCTATGCTTATCACAGCCGATAACCTCCTAGTTTTGCTATTGTGAACTCAACTCTTGGTTTCAAAATGAGCCACGTTTGCAACTTGGGTATTCAACACATGTTCCTTGGTTTAATTGATAGCAAATTGAAGAACATGACGGAAAGTTTCAGATGCGCTTCATATGTTTTCCATGATGTGATTCAATGTTTCATCTGTTGTTCATAGTCATGAAATCTTTTTTTTTTTTTGAGTTATAGCCATGAAAACTATACATGAGATACATATTTATGTATACGAACATACACACACTCATAAAAGCTGCAAATCTAAGGCAACTTTTTTTATCACTAGATTCAAGGGAGTATGTAGACTCGAAGGTGTTGAATGGTGATTTCTTGCATTTCCTGAAGACGAGGGAATCTTTAAAACTGAAGCAGCAAGAGCTGATTTGGCTAACTATTAAGATTAACTAAGTGAATGTGATAGAAATTTAAGACAACTAATATCAAGAATAGATGCTGTTGTCCTATCTCTATACACTTGAGAAGAATTGGGAGAAATTAAGTGTAGGGATTAAGTTGGAGAAGAGATGCTTCTTCATTTTGCAATTGAGAATAGTTGACACATTGGGTCAAGAAATACGTGAGTTGTCATGTTTATCCATTTATTATTGACCAGGTGATGTGTAGTGTTTTTATATGCTACACACTAAAATGGCTCATTTTCAATTTGAAAACTAAAATTTAACGTCAATGATATATGTGAACGACGATTAGTGCTGATTCCCTTCTTCATTTTCATTTCTAATTCTTGGGAATTCTTATTTGTAATTTATTTATTGCATCTATTTTAGTGATACAACTAGATAAAAGAACCACAGAGAAAATACAAGTTGAAATCCATTGTTCTCTCTCAAAAAAAAAAAAAAGAGTTGAAATCCATTGTAGAATCGACTTTTACGAGAGTCCACCAATGCAGTTACACTCATCTTCTTTTTATGTACAAGAACTAGGGAGGGAGAGCCCGCCCGACGCGCGGGAATTTGGCACTTATGATTGAAAATAATTAATAATTATTGTTTAATATTTTGTATTATAATTTGGCACTTATCATGTGATTTTAACAGAAAAATCAAAAGTTACATAGTGAGTCAATAAAATAATGTGCAATGAAATATCCTTATATTATATAAGAATCAATTGTGATCAAAAGTTATGTTTGAATTTCGACCGCAAAGATAAGGATAGTTTGGAAATATAAGAATGTTTGAAGTACAATTGAAAAATATCCAAAAGTTTTGTCTAAAACTTATCCAAGATCTAATTTGAAATTACCTTATTATAAAAAAATTGGTGCAAATAATATTTTCTAAATTTGAAATTGTAGGAAATGGTAACTAAAATCAAAAGAAATTGCTCATATGAATTTGAATTGCAAGCTATGGTAGAAACTGCTTAATGATATTTTTCAATGTTTACTTGTATAAGTATCCAATATAGCAATTCTACTTAATTGAGTCGTTTGAACTATGAATAATAGTTGTTTCAATCAAATCAAGAAACATTATTTATCATTGTACAGTATACAATTATGAGTAAATGAATTAATACAATGCAATCAAAATGGTGCTGTTGTTGAAACATTTAAACTCATCAAGTTCCACTACAAATTCTTTTAAATAGCATGTTAAATAATATAGCAAAACGATTTGTCAAAGTAAAAAAGCAAATTTTTTTTATATTTGGAATTATATAAACAATAGAATACAAGAACGAGATCATAACATGGAAAAGCAAATATATTGCAAATGACATCTAGTACTATGTAGCATGATTAATTTTTTTTTTTTTTAGTTTCAATGAAGGACAAAATTCTAAGTTAATAAATTTTACAATCAAAAAATTTTCAATTAAAATAAACACAAGCTGAATTCCAAATCATATTACATAAAAAACTAAATAAAAACAACTACTTGAACCATAATTTATCCATAATATAAAATGCCATAATAATTCTATTCAACCATCAAAAATTTTGTCAAGTATTAAACTACTGGCAGAATTACCAGGCCTCAATTCCATCCTTCTTGCTATGCTTACTGCAACACCCACACCCATAAGCCTATTGCCTCAGAACATCAAGTCTCAATCCCCATCATTATTTTTTAATACCTTACATTCAACAATACTGATTAGCAACTTCAAGCTATCTGAGATTTTGGAAGAAGATGTCAAGATTGGAACTTCTTCATGGTAACTACCGGATCATTTGCTTTTCTTTTTTTCTTTTTCACTTGGGAATTTGGATTCCTAACTACTTAATAGCAACAAGACACCGGGAATTCTAGAAATTCAGACTCCCTTATTTCTAGAACTGTCAAAATACATCATACTTTTACATGGTTTAGTTTGAGTGATATATAGCATGTGACGGCGCATGTAGGTGTAAATCACGGCATATCAGAAAGTCTAATTAATGCAATATTTGATGTTAGCAACTTGATCGAGGAGGTGAAGATGGGATATGAAACTAAGCATGTATTGGATCCAGTATGGCACGAGCTTCAATGCTTTCAAAAAGCAAATCAATCTTTTTCAGGACCGGAGGAGCGACTTCCTCAAGATCGTCGTCCAACTTGCTTTTGCAATGCCGACATGTTATACCCTGTTCTAATTAAACTTTGACATAATATCTATAACTTATAAGTAATAAATTTATAAGAACAAATAAGTTCCACTACTTTAAAAATTAGTTCTACACAACTTCATTCAATGAATTATAAGCAAGGTGATAAAATTATTAACCTTATTCAAGATATGTGCAACAAAGTCAGGTTTTGATACCGACTTCAACCTATTCCACAAATACAAGAATCAGAAAATAGTACAATTAGTTAGTTTTTGCAATTAGAAGTATCAAAAAACAAACTATATGGAGTTCTTGAATAAACCAATCATCGAAAAAAAAGCCACCTCAAATCCAAACAGCTCACCTCAATTTAGAGGAAAGGCTACGCTTTCCACCAAATATTTAATAGCTATGATAAAATCAAAGAGGTGAAACGGAAAAAGAAAAAAAGGCTATCGGCTGAACATGGAGGCATAATTATGGTGATGGTTGTTTAGAGCAATCTATTGAACATGGGGCATAATATATGATAATGGTTGTTTAGGTAATAATTAGGTCAATTAATTGCAATTAAAATCCAATTATATAAACATCCAATTAATTCCTTAATGGATGAGAAATGCTTCAGGAAATTGGAAGGTTTGGGTGTTAGTATAGTAAATGATTAAAAGGCCTTTTATGTAATTCTATCAAAACACAAATTTAATTCAGTTGTACTTGATACTCAACTTGGCACCAAATATTGTCATTTACCAAACCTACCCCTAGCCTTAAATATCTGAAATGTTATATAAGTAATTATAGCAAAATTAAAGCTGTAATAACTTGTACCTAATGCTTCACTTGTACTTTAAACACTCTCACATTCCCAAAATAATCCCACCCTTACAGTTGAAATCCAAAATTTATCTTTGCCCTAAACTCATTCTTATATATATATATATATATATATATAGTATAATAAAGAAATGTTCAGAAGCTTCCTTCATTGTTCAGTCCAATCGGTATTTGCTGACAGGGTCCGAGTCTCCATATTGGATAGCCCACTTTGACCCATATGTAGTTTTTGCTTACATTCAGTACGCATGTATGAAATTGGGTCTTCCATCTGTTTTGGGCTTCATTTTGCGGTATTGCAGAAAGCTAAAGATCATGTTGTCTATGGTCCTTAAAATGTCGAACATGGACTACAGGAGCATAACCCACACAAACTTGGGGCCCGTATTGATGGAAAAGATTTATTTCTTTTCCCTTTTTTGACCCCAGGTGGAAGATTCCTTTACTTCAACAACATTTATCCTTTTACTTTATATATATATATCTATGAATTAATCTTCTATACACTGACAGTATGTACACTTTCACCATTAAATGCATAATACATAATACGAATTTGAATTTGAAACTCAAATTTTGCATGTGTGTCGTATATCCAACCGTGATAATATATATATTATCAGTGTATCTAAAATTTACTATATATATTATATATCCTTTAATAAGAGGAAAGACGTTTTTTTTCTTTTTTCTTTTTTAAAAAAAAACCTTCCCCCATTCCCTAATCCCTCCCTATCCCTAAATTTGACAGTCAAGTTTGAACCCTGATTTGTCAGGCGGAAGATCACGTGCCTAGCCAACATTTCTAATGGCTGTTAGTTAAGACCGAAAAAGAGGTTGACTTCTTTGTATTTGAAAATTTTTATGTGGAATTATACTAACCTATGGTCTTGTCTCAATATTCACAATCCGTGAATCCTCCTTTTTGTAGTTTAGGAATAAATTCTTGATTAATGTCGCTACTAGTTGAGCTGAATATTGAATACCATTCTTTTGAGATTTTATTTTTAATCCATTCCCCACTGGGGGCCCTTTAACACGTAAATGTTCTTTCCTCAATTGGTTATATTATCCGATCGAGATTCTAACATAAAACCAGATTATGAATGTG